ATATACACACACATATGTGCAGACATGCACACAGTTCTTGAGACACCACATAGATTTAACTATAGATGTTTTTAATAAATAATAAGATTGAATTATTATAATACAATGTAAAATAATTATATAGTTGTGATCTCTGCAAGAAAATATTTTTGCCAAAATAGACTGTAGAATATGTTCTTAATAAATGCAAATAACAGAGGCTTACTCTTAAATGTCTACACCACTGGAAGAATATTGCTAAAGATATCCTAAACATAGGCTTATGAAAAATGAGATTTTTTTTTTTTATATAATAAATGCCTACAATATGACAGAGTTTGTTGTTGTTGTTATTTGCCATCAAGTCGGACCTGATTCATAGCGACCCCTCCTTGGGTTTCTGAGGCAGCATCACTACGGAAGTAGATTGCCCCATCTTCCTTCCAAGGAGTGGCTGGTGGGTTTGAACTTCCAGCCTTCTGGTTAGCAGTCAAGTGCCTTAGGCACTACGCTACCAGAGCTCCTATGACAGAGTTTAAACTTCACTAATTATGTGGGCAATTATCTCATTTAATTCTGAAGAGCCTAAGAAACTAGGAAGTAGATAATATTTTCTCTATTTGATCAATGAAGAAACTGAGTCTCGGATAAATTATACACCACATAGCTAGTCAGAGAGGAGTACCCAACCCATGAGAACATAGTGCCAGTGCGTTCATATTGGGTTAGGGAATAATTTTTGTACTTTTTTAAATAAAAATGCAACTGCAATCATTGGGAATTCACAAATTTCAACCCTTCCAATGGAAGCCCCCTGAAAAAGACAGACCCACAGCGTGTCCTAGAATATTTACTTCATCCACTGTACTGTCCACTAGCCACCACTTAATTAAGCACTTGAAACACAGTTAATCCAAAGTGAGATGTGCTTTGAGTTTAAAAGACAGTATGAAAAAAAAAATGTAAAATTTAACATTGCATATAAGGCATACATCTGCAACCCACATTATGTTTCTATGTTGATTATATATCCATAATGCCCCTTCACTGTCTCGCACTAATTTTCATGAAGATCAAAGGAATCAGTATAGTTTCTTATTTATTAAGGATTTGTTGTTGTTGTTGTTGTGTGCCGTCGAGTTGGACTCGACTCATAGAGACCCCTCCTTGGGTTTCCGAGGCATTATCACTACGGAAGTAGATTGCCCCATCTTCCTTCCGAGGAGTGGCTGGTCGGTTTGAACCGCCAGCCTTCTGGTTAGCAGTCCAGTGCCTTAGGCACTATGCTACCAGGATACTCGTACCAAAAATTAAATTTTAAAACTCCATCCTTTAATATGAACCCATAATGAAGTCATAGTTTTTTCAGAATCATTTAATAGTTCAAGTCTATAAACATTTTTTTGTTGTTGTTGTGTGCCATCTAGTTGATTCCATCTCATAGGGATACTATATGGCAGAGTAAAATTACTCCATAGTGGTTCCCAGGCTGTAATTTTTTGGAAAAGGGCCCCCAGGTCTTTTATCTCATGGAGCTGCTGTTTGGGTTCAAACTGCTAATCACTGGGTTAGTAGCCAAGCACTTAACTGTTATGCCACCCAGGGCTCCTTAAATTAAGTTTAGCATTTCACTTTTACCAAGGACTATGTGTATATTTAATACCAGAGACTCATTTAAAGGTACTTGTTTTGTTTACTTTGTGCTACTGTAACAGAAAATACCACAAATGGGAGGACAACGTTAACAAACTGGAATTTATTCTCTTACAGTTTGGAAGGCTAGAAGTCTGAGTTCAAAGTGCCAGGCTCTAGGGGCCCCTTGACCTTGGCCTTCAGTTCTGTCTCTTGCTCTAATGCTTCTTCACTCAGGCAGCTACTATTTGCTGAGGCTGATAAACCCAAGGTCAACAAGTAAAAGGGTGCAATCCCAATATTACCAATCAACATAGCAGGCCACCGATGCAAGTTCATTAACAATTCCAAGACTGTCAGACAACAAGGTAGACTGGTGAACGACAACTAGGCCACATGTAGGGTCCAAGTGTACCAAAAAGCTGCAGACCTTTCTCAACACTTCTCCATATATACAGGAAACAGACCACATCCCTAAGGCAGCTACTCAGCTCCTCCAGTAGACTCCACTACAGAGCTGATTACCAATCTCACCATGGGGAATAACTAACTACATTCAGCTGCCCAGCCACTCAAAACCAGGCCCAGCCAAGGTGACGCGTAACCTTAACTACCACAGTACTTCAAATAGTTTATGACGTTGTTATTGTTATTTGCCATCGAGTCAGCCCCGACTCATAGCGACCCCTCCTTGGGTTTCTGAGGCAGTATCACTACGGAAGTAGGATTGCCCAACCTTCCTTCCGAGGAGTGGCTGGTGGGTTTGAACCGCCAGCCATCTGGTTAGCAGGCAAGTGCCTTAGGCACTATGCTACCAGAGCTCCTTCAAATAGTTTATAGGGGAGTGAATTCCATATGTATTCATTCGCCATCTGATGCCTTTGAATGTAAGCATCACAACTAAAATAGCTATGTAAATATTAAAGTATTTCACTTTAATTTTCAGAATACTGTTAACATAAATAAAGGCAATATTTTTCCTCTATTGGAATTTTTCTATTTCAGTCATTCCTTTCAAGTTGCAATATTTTGTAGAAATTAATACTGATCTCTTTTGTTCTTTTTATATTAATTCTTCCTTTTCTTATTTATTTTCTAAGGCCATTCAATATACTTTCAATGTCATTTCATTTTGTGAAAAAAAAAGATAACATACAACTCAATCCAGTTGAGTTCCATGTTTCTTTTGAAATATTATTGCACAATACTGTTTTAGGTGCCTGCATCAGCCAATTTCCCATGCATGGCCCATTAAGCAGTCTGTGAGGCACTATCCTTACACTCTCCAATGATATGCGGTCTGCTCACAGTGCTCACCTTACTACGTTCATTATGTGATCCAACCTTTGCTCACACATAGTCTCTTTTGCCCGACAAACTGAAGGGATATTTGTCTCCCATGAATTCCAGTGGCAAGTGTGATGACAAACTCCCAATCATCCTACAAATGAGTCTCAAGGGAGGTCCTCTCAAATGGATGCTGTCTTCATCTTCTCTGCATACCAATAAAGTTTTGTATGTTTCGCCTAGCATCTCATTTATACTACTCAATCTACTTCTGTAGGGATACAGCCTCGGAAACTCAAGGGGGGTCGCTATGAATCGGAATCGACTCGATAGCAGTGAGCTTTAATATCCAACATCAAAGTCATTTGGGGCATTTTTCTTATCCCCCTTAACATACTGAATGATGCTTGAAGGTAGATATTCTTAGTTTCTATTCACCAAAATTTATAATTGTATATTTCAAATATCATAAGGGAGCTCTGGTGGCCTAGTGCCTAAGGCATTTGATTGCTAACCAGAAGGCTGGCGGTTCAAACACACCAGCCACTCCTCAGAAGGAAGGTTGGGCAATCTATTTCCGTAGTGATACTGCCTCGGAAACCCAAGCAGGGGTTGCTATGAGTTGGATCTGACTCGGTGGATATTTCAAATATCATAGGGCTATGTTAAAGGCTCCTGCATTATTACCATGTGCTCTTAGTTTGTTAATTAATGTATAATTGGTGCCACTTTGTGTATCATTTTTAATTTTCCTTATGAAGGTTTTAAAAATATGACTTTATTCAGGATTTCACAGGTTTAAAGTGTCAATCTTCACAATAAGATTGGTTTGCTGATATTAAGAACTCAATTTTATTTCTCTTGCATCCTACTTAGTGTGTGTTCAATAAATGTTAAGGTAGTTCAACATAAAATTTTGGTCTTCTCACTAAATGAACGCTGTAAGATAATTTTTATTATGATTAAAAATTAATGTTAATAGTTGTACTGCAAAAGGCCTAGTATATAGCTCCGACCTAAACTTTCTACACAGAATGGAAGACACAGATTTTTTTCAGGAAAGAAGATTAGTCTCAAGTATCTTAAAAACATTTGAATTGAATCTTTGCAACATATTTTTGAAACGTTTGTTTTCCTCTATACTGTTCATTTAGTGTTAGAAAGATGTCCATCAAAGAGATTGTTTAATTAAATGTCAACTGGGAAACATTTATCCAGAAATTTCCTCTTAGAAAAATTAAAACTCTCATCTTGAGATGAATGGGAAAGTCAAAGTTAGAATGGTCATGTTCCCCATTCCACTCGCTATATTAAAAGCCAAAGAAAATAAATCATTCTTAATACAGTACATTTCTTCTCTTTAGACAGATACAGTTAGATACAAAAGAAATGTCATTTTTATTTTTCACTAATAAACTTTTGGTGTAAATATCAGTATCTGTCATATATCATTTCACAAATTTGTCTTTTTATAATTTTAATAACATATACTGTATTTGTTTTCATCTCATGCCTCCAATGTATTATAGGGATTAAAAACAGTGCATGCTTTTCCTATTTCTTACAAAATTGTCACTCTATATATTATTAAACTTCTGCCAACTCTACATTTTAATACAGTTCTTTAGACAAATTACCAAAAGATGTTTTAGGTTAAAATATATAATGCCATATTCAATCATCTAAGCTATTTCAAAATAGGAACTAAATTATTCAATTTGGAATGTGCCTGAAGCTAAAAACAATAAAGCAAATAGAATAACTCTGCTCTTGAGTTTCATATGCTTTATTAGCAAATGCATATGTGGTAAGGATCGATTTCTGAATCAGAACGCAAACAATGGCATCTTCTCTTATATTAGGGATCTGGGAGGAAGCTGATTAAACAGTGAATTCAGGCACTGTTAATACATAGAAGCTTGGGAGAAACTTTTGTAAGAGTAAAGACTTGAAAGATACTTTATGATATTAAAAAAATACTTTAATATTCTTCATGGAGGCAATTAATTACTAGGTGTTAATGTTATTTACTTGTTTTCTGTTTTGTTCTTTGTTTCTCACCTTCCATCCTGCAAGAACACAAAACAAACACAAAAATGTACCTGTTGGAAGAGGCACTGCTGGTTCTTCTTTAATGGAGTGGGATGATAGACAACTCCTTGTGAGCACAATGTCATCAAGTGAAATATCACCACGGTGACCTTTCCCAACTCTGCCTTCAAATTTGAGTTGAAAGTCTTCATCACCAAACAGTGATAGTTCTTTCCTCTGCCAGAAATTGCCTTGTTCTCCAGTGAGATTAAGTAAAACCTTCATTTGGTTTGAAACTGATACTTGGGTCAAGGTGAGTGCCCCAATACCATTTCCGTACATGTGATAGTGGAAAATTATCTGGAACCAAGAACAGAAATGTTATATGTGATTAGTCAGTCTGATTCCATTTTATTTTCAATTATATGATATTTCCATTTTCTCATTAAAATATTCCAGAAGGAAAAACTAGATCTGTATATTCTATTGCCCCATGAGTACCCTAACAATAAGTGAAGATAGGCCATCATTGAATAACATTGCATATATGGGAGATAGTATAGTAAAGATCAAGTGACACTTTAGCAGAAAAAAACTGAGCATGGTTTACTTTCTGTGACTTCTAAAAGGGGGATTCTTACACAGACTCTTAGAGTGTACTATCAAAGAAATAAAATACATACCACCTCATTTATCAAATATAATTTTCCAACATTTTGCATTTATGGCAATAGTAAAAGTCTGCTGACTATTCTGTGTATTAATTATGTACATGTACCAGTAACAAATTCTAAGGTGTCAGATGAGGATAATGCTGGCTGTGATGATTAAGGATGTGTGTCAACTTGACTGGGACGTGATTCTCAGTAGTTTGGAAATTATGTACTCATATAATGTGGCAGTTATGTACTGATGTAATCTGACAGTTATACAATAATGTAGTTCTCTCCCATTTTGTGGTCTGATGTGTTCATTCTTCATTTTCCCATGATGCCAGTTTTCGCATACTGACCTAGTCTTTGAAATCTAACTCTGTCAATAAGTGAGGAGAGGATGTATCATCAAATAATGATAACTTACATAAAAAGATTTCATGATTATGAAATAGTAAGGACTAAAGAACATCATTTGCAATCTCATGAAACTAAAATAATTTTCTTTCAAATAGTAGTGTATTCTCTTGCTTATTCCACTATACCCTTGCACTTAAAACTCATTTTCAGTTCTCCAAGATCCTCAGACTCCACTATCCAGCAAAACCATCAGAACAGCCATTACCCAAATTTTACTTGAAATGCTATAAACAGGCTTTAGAAGAACAGCCTTGATAGTTTTTCCCTGAGTAAAAGTTAATAAAAGTATTTTTAGAAATTTGCATTTCAGTGTTTCAAGGATAGAGTTTATCATATTTTTAATGATTGTTATACAATGGGGTAAAGTCAGAAAAAACTGCAGCAAAAAGAATAGGACAGGTTAGGAACAGTAGGAATTCAGAACCTTTTACAAAGCTTCTGTCTTGTAATTTGGGTGAGTGAAAGAAAACATGAATGGTGGGTTATGTTCTCATAGGAAAAACACATTTTGAAACACTAGCAATCAAGAAAAAGCTGGGGGCTGGGGCCCAGGACAGAGTGAAGCCAGGTTAGGCTGGGGACCAAGGTCACACCCCCAAGTGGCAGGAAAGAGGCAGAGATCCATGTAAGGGGAAGGTGGAGAGGTTTTGAACAGCTAAAGGAGGTAAACTTGTCTGTCAGTTTGGCCTACTGTGGTGGCTTGTTGCTGTGAGTCTTAAGGCTTAAGTCTTAAGACACTTAAGGGTGTGCCACCAGTGTCTCAAACCCAGCAGAGTTACAGATGGTACACAGGTTTCAGCAGCTTACAGACTGATACAGACTAGGAAGAAGGAGGAGGTCATCCACTTCTCAAGAACTGGCCAGGGAAAACCTTATGAATATCAGAGAAACAATGATACATTACTATGCAACTTTATGAATAGCCTGGAAACACTATACGATACAGTACAGGAGGATAAGTCACTTAGGTCGGAAGACTCTCAAAATAGGACTTGGAAAGAGCTGCATCATCAGAGTAGAACCAGCCTTACTGATATAGATAAGGTAAAGCTTTGGAGACCTCCATTCGCTAACGTGGCACGTTGAGGAGAAACAGCTGCAAACATCCATTAATCATACAAACACTGAATGTACAAAGTATGAATCTAGGAAAACTGAAAGTTATCAAAGATGAAATGGAACACATAAAGTTTGATATCTTAGTGAGCTGAAATGGAGTAGATTTGGCCATTGTGAATCAGACAACCATGTGGTCTACTATGCTGGCAATGACAATTTGAAGAGGAATGACATGGCATTCATCATCACAAAGGATGTTTCAAGATCTGTCCTGAAGTATAATGCTGTCAGTGATAGGATAATATTCATACACCTACAAGGAAGACCAGTTAATATGACTATAATTCAAATATATGCACCAACTGCCAAAGCCAAAGATGAGGAAATAAGATTTTTATCAGCTTCTGCAGTCTGAAACTGACAGAACATGTGATCATGATGTGTTAATTATCACTGGTGACTGGAATATAAAAGGTGGAAACAAAGAATCACTGGTAGTTGAAAAATTTGGTCTTGGTGACAGAAATGATACTGGAAATGGAAATCACATGATAGAATTTTGCAAAAGCAGTGACCTATTCATTGCAAATACCTTTTTCAACAATACGAATGGCCGCTATACACATGGACTTCACCAGACAGAATACACAGGAATCAGACTGAGTACATCTGTAGTAAGAGGTGAGGGAAAAGCTCAATATCTTTAGCCAAAACCAGGCCAGAAGGTGATTGTGTAACAGACCATCAAGTGCTCATACATAAGTTCCAGTTGAAGTTGAAGGCAGTTAAAACAAGTCCACGAGAGCCAAAATATGATCTTGAATATATCCCTCCTGAATTTACAGACCATCTAAAGAATAGATTTGATGCACTGAACACCAATGACCAAACACCAGAAGAATTGGGGGAGAACATGAAGAACATCATCCATGAAGAAAGCAAGAGAACAAAATGAATGTCAGAAGAGACTCTGAAACTTGGCCTTGAGCGAAGAGTAGCTAAAGCAAATGGAAGAAATAATGAGATAAAAGAGCCTGAACAGAAGATTTTAAAGAGTAGATAGAGCAGACAAAGCCAATTACGATAATGAAATGTGCAAAGACATGGAGTTAGAAAACCAAAGGGAAAACACGCTAGGCATTTCTCAAGCTGAAAGAACTGAGGAAAAAATTCAAGACTCGAGCTGCACTATTGAAAGATTCTATGGGCAAAGTATTGAATGATGCATGAAACATCAAAAGAACATGGAAGGAATACACAGAGTCACTGTACCAAAAAGAATTGGTAGATCTTCATCCATTTCAAGAGGTGCCATATGATCAAGAACCAATGGTACTGAAGGAAGAAGTTGAAGCTGCACTGAAGGAATTGGTGAGGAACAAAACTCCATGTATTGACGGAATACTCACTGAGATGTTTCGGTTTTGTCAAAAGATTTGGAAAATAGCTACCTGGTCAAATGACTGAAAGAGATCCATATTTGTACCCATTCCAAAGAAAGATGATCCTACAGAATGTGGAAATTATAAAACAATACCATACACAAGTAAGATAATTGAAAAATGGTTCCAGCAGTATATTGACAGAGAACTTCCAGTGGTGCAAGCTGGATTCAGAAGAGGACGTGGAACAAGGGATATATATTATAGCTGTTGTCAGATGGACCTTGGCTCAAAGCAAAGAATACCAGAAAGATGTTTACTTTTGTTTTATTGACTATGGAAAGGCTTTTGATTGTGCAGATCATAATAAATTGTGGATGACATTGAGAAGAATAGGAATTCCAGAACACTTGATTGTGCTCATGAGAAACCTGTACATTGTCCAGGAGGCTGTTGTTCGAACAGAACAAGGGGACACTTCATTGTTTAAAATCAAGAAGGGAGTGTGTAAGGGTTGTATCCTTTCCCCATACTTATTCAATCTGTATGCTGAGCAAGTAATCTGGACTATCAGAAGCTAAACTATGTGAAAAAGAATGTGGCCTTAAGATTGGAGGAAGAATCATTAACAACCTGCAAGACACTGACAACACAACTTTGCTTGCTAAAAGTAAAGCTGGCTTGAGGCACTTATTGATGAAGATTGAAGAATACAGTCTGCAGTATGGATTACATCTCAATATAAAGAAAACAAAAATCTTCACAACTGGACCTATAAGCAGCATCATGATAAATGGAGAAAAGATTGAAGTTGTCAAGGAATTCACATTGCTTAGTTCTACAATTGACACCAATGGAAGCAGCAGTCAGGACATTAGATGACATACAGCACTGGGGAAGCTGGCTGCAAGGGACCTCTCTCAAGTGCTGAGGAGCGAGGATATCTCCTTAAGGACTAATGTGCATCTGACACAAGCCATGATATTTTCAACTGCCTTGTATGCATGTGAGAGCTGGACAATGAATAAGGAAGACCAAAGAAGAATTATGCTTTTAAGTTGTGGTGCGGGAGAAGAATGCTTAAAGTACCATGGACTGCTAAAAGAACTAACAGATCTGTCCTGGAGGAAGTGCAGCCAGAATGCTCCTTGGAAGTGAGAATGGACAGACTACATCTCACTTGCTTTGGTCATGTTGTCAGAAGGGACCATTCCCTGGAGAAGGATGTCATGTTTGGTAAGGTGGAGGGTCAAAGAAAGAGGGGAAGGCCCTCAACAAGATAGATTGACACAGTGGCTGTGACGATGGGCTCAAGTATAGCTAGGATCATGAAGCTGGAGCAGGACCAGATGGTGTTTCGTGCTGCTGTGCATAGGTTCACTATGAGTCAGACATGATTTGACGGCAGCTAACAACAACAACAACAGGAATCATGTATAATATGCTCTGTTTTTGTTGTTGTTATGTGCCATTCAGTTTGACCCAACTCATAGTGACCCCTCCTTGGGTTTCTGAGGCAGTATCACTATGGAAATAGATTGCCCAACCTTTGGAGGAGTGGCTAGTGGGTTTGAACCACCATCCTTCTGGTTAGCAGTCAAGTGCCTTAGGCACTACCCTACCAGAGCTCCAGAATGGTAAAAATATCTGTAAGGCTAAAAAATGCCTTTAAATATATGCAAAACTGATATAAAAGAGCAACAACTAAGAATAGATGAGTTATATAAAGTGATCCTATTCAAATTTCCTAGCTCAGTGGAATTATTCAACTACTATTCAAAGATCCTTAAATGTTTCTTCTTCTGAAAAAACCTTCCAAAATGACACCTATTACCATTGTGGATTG